CCCCCCCCCCCCCCCCCCCCCCGCCCCGGTTACTTCACAACAACAAAGTTGCTGCACATGGGCTTTTGAAAACACTAACAAGTGTAGAGCAGGTCTGTGACCCAGTCTGACCCCACTTTGCAGGGCCAATCTCCTCTTCTCTTTCTGAATGACACGTGTCTGAATCAGAGCCATCTGCCTCAATTTGCGCAACATCTTCAGCCACAATAGGACACAGTTAGCCCTGACAACAGCTCACAATACAGCAAAATCAAACTGCTGGGCTGACAGCATGCTGTGGGCTATTCAAGAGCAAACCAACTGGTCAGTGTCTCCTGTCTGACAATTAGCATGGGCCTTGCAAAGCGCCTACCCAAGCCCTTGGGGATCTGTTTAATTACCATCAACATAAAGAAGGGAGTTTATCAGGAGATACTCAAAAAACTTCACTCCAGACTTAATTAAAATATTAGCCACTTAAGCAGGAAGCAGGTTCTCTTTAAACGAGAAGTAATTTCTGTCTTTTTTTCTTTTTAAACTAAGCATATCAAAATCTCATAACACATTATACTAATTAAGGAAACATGGGGCACTTTTCTAATGTCACTCATCACAGGTCAATCTATTTCTTTTGTCTGGATTACAGATACATTCAAAGACCTCTCCTTTTAATAGGAGGTTATAAAACAACATTACTACTACAAAAATTACCTACTTAGCTAGTTGTATCAATGATTTCATCTATTTATGCTGCAATGTAGAAGATGACTATTTCTCTTGTTGACTTCGACAGGGGGATAATTATAGAAACAATAGTCTTATTAGTCACTTTATTTACTTAACAGTTGTGTCTTGGGACAACACAGAAGCAGATTATCTCTGAGTATGCACATAAATAGATTGGTAGTTGGCACTCCTGCTGTGCTTCATAGCCCCGAGGCTTGATTTTACCCTCTTTTATCAAAAGCTGAAAGTGATACGAAGTCACTGGTTCTGTGAAAACCAAGGTGGTCCAAAGCATCAGAGATGAGTTTTGTGCTGATATTTTTACATGTGAATTTGTGAAATTGTATAGGGGATCAATAGCACTTTTCCATACCCCTGAACAAAACATGTAAAATCAATAAAATATGAGTTTGTATGTGGTCTGCAAGACGCAAAGGGTCTGATACTCAGATAATTTTACACAAAGTATTAATACCCACAACTAGCAGTGGCTAATCGGTTTCTATCAATGGTCACCGATCTGGAATCACTTGGTGAAAAAAGAATCGGAACACAACAGGATGACTTATTTCACCATCAAAAAAAGCATGTATAGAAGAAGAACCACACGGTGTGTTTACAGCTGCTTTTGAACATTGGAAACCAAAATCTATTCCTTAAAATAGGGAACATAATCTAGTTTCTAAAGAGAATTATGTCTCTAAAGATCACTTATGTGATCTTAAAACTGAATACAGTTATAACAGGATGAAGCAGTCGGATTTTGATTACAAGCCACTAGCAGTAAAACTGATTTGTCAATTTTTTAAATACACTGCCATTGAAGGATTTGGTTAATAGCTGTTTTTTCAACTAAGTACATGTTATTACATTTCCATGCTTATTCTTATCATAAACCCAAATGGATTTTCCAAAATGTGTGTTGTGCTCAACTAGATACTTAGACCAGAAAGCCATTAAAAAAATTTCTCAGGAGCAAAAATTAATCACTAATAATGTGTCTTTATTCTTTGTGAGAAACTTTTATTTTCCTCACAAGGTCAGTAATTATTTTCCACTTTTTCTGAAAGCTGATACTGCCTTAGAACTTAGAATTTGAATTCAAAAAACCTCCACAAAAACAAACAAACAAACAAAACTCCAAACAAAACTCCAAACAAAAAACCTCAAAGCAATCCCCCTCCCCCCAAAAAAACCCCATCCAAGAAAATAATAAACCAACCAGAAATCATAGACTGAAATAAGCCTTGGAAACTGCACTGTAGTACATTTAAATCCAGAATGTAAATTGATTGGTTGTAGGCCCAAAAGAAAGAATTTGTCTTATGGACAACTCTTAACATAAGACACTATTATGAGCATGGTTCTGTTGCAACGAAGGATGCATCAGTGAATATGAAAACAAAAAAAAAGAAAGTAAATGGAATACCATGCAGAAAACAGAACCAAATATTTACTAATAGTTTCAAGATGGCTGTTTCTGCTAGCAGTTTTCTGCTGTTACAGTTTTTCTTTCTCTGATAATATTAATTCTAAACCTGATTTTACATCATTTAAGGAAGATTTGCAGTTGTTAATATTTTTCCCATTTACAAAAATCAAGACGGATTAGAAACACAACAATGTGAGAGAAATTTGCATACTCTGAATGTTTATAGGTATTTTTTTCTTTAAAAAGAATGTTAAATATTCTGAGCACATGTGACATGTAAAAAAAGAGCAGTTCATATGTCATTTTTACATAAATATCGTACCTGTCAGTAGGTAAGGAAATATGTATTACGAATCAAATTCTTAATCAACAACAATAAAGTACTGTATATTTTTAGAAAGTAATTTGGTCTTTCAAGAGTTAAAAATCAAGAACACACTTCTGGTCATTTTCCATGAAAACAAAATTCCTTCATGATAATCACACAGAAAAAAATTGATTTATAGTTGACATAAACGGTTAACACGGAGTATCAGATACTACAGTATGACAGAATTTGCCACTGACTTTGTAATGATGACTAGCCTAAACACAGACTAGCAGTTATTTTCTCTTTACTTGTAGACAGAAGATAGCTACACTATACAGGAGATACATTTTTATGGGGAAAGGTTATGAAAATTTCATGGCAGTGAATATACAGCAACAGAATAACTCACTTAAAATCTGCTCTTTAAAATTCAGCATTTGAGAAAGTAAATTTACACCTGAACACTCACTATCAGGATATCTACAGTAGAGCAGGGTTTGTTACGCATAATTCAACAGTATTAAAACATACACTCTCTCCTGTCCAGAGCTTTTTTTCCTCTTTGACTTTCCTGTTCAAGCTAAATTTTCTTCTTTTTCTGTTCTAATGCTTACCAGTGACAACGGCACATAGAGGCTAAAACTTTTTTTTTCCCTCCACCCTTTCTTTAAATCTTGTACATGAAGCCTTCAATTACTGCCTGCTGAAGCAGACAGAATCCTATTAGTAAGGAAGACAATCAGAAGATGCAATACCCTGCCCTAGCTGTAGAAAAATAATTAGTCCAAAGCTGACAAATGTGTAATCAAGTTATGCAATGAATATATTCAAAGGGGAAAAAAATACTGCTGTGAATTAGTCTTCAATTTGTACATATAAAAATGAGTAACTATCAAGTACCTTCCAGTGTGTCAACTGGACAACAAAGATATTTACATTTATAGTTTCAGTACTCTGAATCTTTCTTTTGCTCGGCTATGTAAAGGTTTGACTTAATAACATTTATCTAAAAATTGGCTAAGTTACTAATTACTTGTATTCATTCCCTGAGTAAGTCTTAAAACATGGAAAATAAGTGTTTGGGTATTAGTTCTGACATGGGGATAGAGTAAGCTTAATAGTAAAACTTAAACAGAAATATATTCACCAAAAGAAGGATCCTTATCCTAATCTGGTGATTTTAACATTGGTTATTAATAATAAAATTTGATTAATATTTACCTTAAAAATCATATTATGATAATTTGATATTTTCTTTTTTCCACTACATTTCATGCTATTTTAACATTATCTTTGAATAAATTGTTCAAAATACCTAATTCATTATCATAATGTACTTATTTCCAACATTATCTATTTTTTGAGTATAATAAAATTGTAAAATAAATTGCAATCAAATCCATACTCTATTTTTACCATGTTTATTTCTATTGCCAAAATAGATTTTGAGTCTGTTCTCAGTTGCCACTAAGCAGTTGCACTGTACCTCAACAAAAAGGCAGAAATAAAAGTGAGTCAT